ATGAAATATGATACAATAAGAAACAAGAAGATGTACAAAGAAGATGATTCTTGTAGATTTTGGAGAAACTACAAAAGAGTTACAGAGTTTTTAATCCTAAAAATGGTAAAATTGTTACAAGTAGAGATGTACTAATCGTTGAAAATGAAACGGATGACAGAATATTCGTAAAAATAGATTCAGTGGAGGATAAAACGACTAAGGAAGTTATTTACATGTGTGCAACAGAAGTAAGAATAGAAGATAATCAAGTATTAATTATAATTAATTACAGTGACAGAAGCATTGTCAGGATCTAACAAAGAAGAATGGGAAGCAGTTATCTAAAGGAAGATGTTGATATGAAACATGAGGGTTTTGTTATTAAAGATAAAGAGCAAAAAGAATATAGAACCATGTTTATACAGGGTGTCTCACGTAACTGGTTCGTTAGAACTTTTTTAGGTTCCAGTATTCGTACAGTTTTGAAATTTTGATAGTATGGATCGTTCAGTCGGAACTTTCGATCTAAAGTATTTTCAAGATGCCTGCAACTTCCGGTCTACCAGAAGTAGACTATAACTTCGTTATTTTAAATGGAATGCTATAGTTTTTATTACACCTTTTAATTGTACGTAAAAAAATATGTTGACTTTCATAAAAGTTATTGGTACCTAGCGTTTTTTGTTTTCGAGTTATTTTGATTTTAAGTTTTTTTTGGTAAATTTCAACATGCTCTTTAAAACTCCATATCTCAGCCAGCATTCATTCAAAAAAGATGTACGTTGGCACGATTACTCTTCAGATGTTGTCAAATAGATTGCCATTTGTTGTATCGAAGTATCTTATACAGGATGGTCAAAAATTGAATTACTGTTTTCCATATTCAATGGCGAGAAAGTCGAAAATTTTAAATGGAACGCCCCATATTTGGGGCCCTGTATATAACCCTGTATATAAAAACTGGAAATAATGGATTAACAGTGATAGCATTATACGTTGATGATTTCATTATATTCTTGAATAATAAAAATGAAACGTATACTTTGAAGCAAGAACTGAGTTCATGGTTTAAATTGAAAGCCAATTCAACAATAAACAAACAGAAATTAGCAAAAAGGATTTGGAGATACTTAAAGGGTACAAAACACATTGTTTAAATTAGGAAATTATCTCCAAATCCAGTACATCACAACTGAACCAAACATGTCGATGTGAAATATGATTTTATTAGAAATGCAATTGAAAATGAAGAGGTGCAGTTTTAATATAGGCGTACCGATGATAGATATTTTCACCAAATCATTGAACAGATGCAAGCAAAAGAAATTTATAGAAGATTTGATATCGCTGTAAATAGTCAGCGTGTATTTAACTTGCTTAAGGGAGAGGCGCTATAATCGATACTGTATTTATACAATATTGGATAACGCCTTTACATTCTATACATTCTTTCTCAACATCGTCATGTGCAGGTATACAATACACCTTTATTTTGTCCCTGATATCTTTCAACACGTAATCTGATAGCCTCCAACATCCTCACTGATCTTAATTTTTATTTATTTATCTTAATTATTATTCAACGTATAGTGTGAGGTCTCTGATTTATTATTTGAGTTATGTTTCAAATTCTTCCAACATGAATTGGAAGTAGTTCTACCGAAATAAAAGGTTAAGAACCGCCAAAAAAGTGTAGCATTATCTTCCAGGTGATTACTTATTTCTATATCATCGCCGAATAAAAATGCACTTTACTGGATATCAGTGACATTGTCGTAGTTAACATACGTTTTTAAAGCCTTGATTATGTAAAAAACACCATGTAAAATTATTTGAAGGTCAATATCATGTACAGGGTGTCCCGTTAAGCGTACGGAGCGGCTGTATCTCTAGAACGGTAAGGCCTAGAGGTTTGGGAAAAAAATCCTTATAAGCAAAGTGACCAAGAGAAATAGCTGGAAATTATTTTGAAGTTCGTAATTCGACCGCTAGGGGGCGTAACTGCCATTGAGAAACATAAAGTTCCCGCTATCTCAGAAACTTAGACGATGAGCTATAACTTTGACAACATCATTTAATAGCTTGGATAATACCGCATCGCTTTTGTTTTGCGATATTTCTCATATCTGTCATAATAAGGGAGGGGGAGGCCAATGCGTTTTCATATGTTTACATTTTAATATCTCCTAGACCATTCAACCGATTTGAATGTTTTCGGTGTTGTTTGAAAGAGCATTTTATGCTCTTTTTAAAGATATTTTCAGTAAGACCGTCTGCTTTAAAACAAATGAGCTAGAGGACGTTATCTGCAGCGATTACATATTTTTGTGATTTTTGAAGAAAAGTTAAATGGAACGATACTATTTACTTCACAGACCCTTAGTCACCTTAAAATTTGCTAAATTTTAGTGAAAACCGCATCTCGATATCGCCACCCGTTCTCGAATTATAGAAGAAAATGTTAAAAACTCGAGTGCCATCAATCGGATCCAGTTACCTCATCGACAAAAACAAATCACATAACCATGGTAACTGTAAACATGTCATCTACTAACGCAGAAGCGTATGATAGAGCGTATGATGATTTATTTTCAATGTTTTGAATACGATGCAACTGCACGGCAAAAATGTGTGCAATGTAATTACGACAAAGAAAGACATTTTTCTTTAGAAGTGTTTTTAAGATTGACTTAGCGATTACGGAAAACTGGCAACGTGTAGCCCATTCAGACATCTCTATGAATTCGTAAATCACATTGGTGCGCAATGTGATCCCACATAATCTGGGAACTCCGAAAACAATTGTCCACAAGAGTTCTCAAGAGAATAATATCTCCACCACGTTGTTTTACATCAGGCCTTAACAGATACCGATTATGATAACAGACTGAACTATTACCATTGACTTTTAAATATGATTTGGGCAAATCCAAACCTTTTATCACAAATGCTATGGATGCATGAAGCATCTGTCCACAAGCTGATGTAAACTTGCATAATATGCATTCTTGGTTCGAGCAAAACCCACATTGCTTTCACCCCTTTATCTATTGGGTAGACTAAACGACCTGACTTTTCAAGAAAAACCAATAACCAGGGAAAATATGACAAAACACTAAATACCAGTAGAAACGTGTCCAGGGCCGAGACTTAAGCAGCGCTTTTTTTTCGTCGAAACTAGATTAAATAAATGCATCGAGGTTTATGGAAGGCATTTCGCACATTAGTGAGTTATTTTTGCCAAAAATTTAAGTTATTCTAAGTGTTTTGGTTTATTTTGTTTTATTATCATTGTTGATGTTTCATTGATCCGTTGGCTTTTCAACACGCCTCAAAAGTAGTTTTGAAGCAGTTCTAAGCTTGGATAAAGTGTGAAGGAAGGTTCTAGATAATAAAATTTTTGTTCTCTCTTATTTGTTTCCTAAGGTAACTTGATCCGATTAAGATATACGAATTTTTAACATTTTCTTTTATAATTCGAGAATGGATGGAGATATCGAGATGCGGTTTTCACTAATATTTAGCAAATTTTATGGTGATTAACGGTCTGTGAAGTAAATAGTACCGTTCCATTTAACTTTTTTTCAAAAATCACAAAAATATGTAACCGCTGCAGATAACGCCCTCTAGCTTATTTGTTTTAAACCAAGCGGTCTTACTGAAAATATCTTTTAAAAGAGCATGAAATGCTCTTTCAAACAAGACCAAAAACATTCAAATCGGTTGAGTGGTCCAGGAGATATTAAAATATAAACATTTGAAAACGCATTGGCCTCCCTCTCCCTTATTATGACAGATATGAGAAATATCGCAAAACAAAAGCAATGCGGTATTATCCAAGCTACTAAATGATGTTGTCAAAGTTATAGCTCATCGTCTAAATTTCTGAGATAGCGGGAATTTTATGTTTCTCTATAGCAGTTACGCCCCCTAGTGGTCGAATTACGAACTTCAAAATAATTTCCAGGTATTTCTCTTGCCCACTTTGCTTATAAGGATTTTTTTCCCAAACCTCTAGGCCTTACCGTTGTTGAGATACAGCTGCTCCGTACGCTTAACGGGACACCCTGTACATAAGATAAAAATTCCAATTTAATTTATTTATTTACAAATTGAATTGTGGAATTGTTAAAAAAGTTTAAACATCCGATTCGAATTTAATTAATTGAATGTTTATAGTTCTTTAAATATCTTTGGCAGGAAAATTTTAAGATTTAAATTTTGAGAAAATTTGTTAATTACTTATTCTTCCATTTTATTTTGCATTTTAATTTTTCAATAATGTTTTTAAATGATAATCAAAAAGTTATTTTTGTACCTCAAATTCTCTTTTTAGCAATTAATGTCCAAACAAATTTAAAATTCAAAGAAAACCTAAAATATGACTACTTTCTGTAGGTGTAATTTAAACACCTGTTAGTCCTCGCCATCTAAACATTATAAAAGCTTATATTGAAAATATTTACGTAACTGGAACTGAAAATTTGTTTACACACAACGCAATGGTATGGTCACGATGAAAATTTCCCTAAACGATAAAATTAAAGAAAACTTACCGATTTCTCTACTTGCTTGAGAGCTTAAATTCCGGTTTATTTATTGACCGGATCCGTTTCCGTTTAACTTTGCTCGGCGTCCTCTCCATTAACGCCAATAATTGACTTACGTACGTCGTAGACCGATACATAAAGCGAAAAGCGATCGCTTCGAAAATTTACGATCTTGCGAACGCCGTTGCCGTTGCTGAAGCTGTTAAGTTTCGAAATATCAGACCGGTCGTAAATTTTTAAGGGACGCGCGGTTAATATTTCAAATCGCTCCCGTAAGGGTCATTAATAATATTATGACGGTGTTAACAGGTGAATAAAAAGAATTTTAATAGATTTTTAGATGCGGGTGTTAAATTTTTAAACGTCTTTAAAATCTGTATAGAGGAAAACGTCGCAAAAAATTGCTATAAAAAGAATTTCCAATTCCGGCGTGTTTCTAATTCCGTCTTTTATTTACGATATTTTCAGACGGGATGTGAATAAGAGTGTAGTCGTAATATCCGCTAAATTTACGCTTGAGGAGTGAGTGCATCGGGAGTTAGCACTCACTATTCGGGATCAGTCTCGGTTTGAATTCGCCACGGTCAGTTCATCACGCGAAGGATGATTAGAGTATGAAGAGAAGAGGTCAATCTTTGGAAAGAACGAGACATTCCAGCTTAGAAATGCCGGACCCGGAATTAGTCGTTAAAGAGAAAAAGAAGCAGGACATGCTTACGAAAGCAAGAAACAAATTTTTCGACGCGATCAAATCGAGAAACTTAGACGGGGATAAGAAATCAAGAACACAAGCAACGATTGATTATTTATTTAAACCATGTCCAAACAGCAAGAATGACAAAAATCAAATTTATTCGAATTCGAGGGCGCAAAATGGACAAAACGAACAAAATGGTCATACTTTACCCAGAACATCTTCGTTACAGAAGCAACACTCCATCGATTCTTATCCATTAAAAATTGCTGAAAGCGTTGACGATCAAGCGATTGCGTCTGGAATTTTTAGAAACAGACCCGCAACAGTTTGCGTTGATAAATTACGCGATGAATTAGGAACTACAGAAGCTTTGGCATTGGAGCGTCCGAGAAAAAAAATTTCGTTTAGGGAACCCGATTTAGAAGGGTATTTAGTCCAAGTTCCCCACGATATTTTTCAGAAGAAACCGAATCGGAAGGCGTTCACTCCTGAAATGAAACGAAGTGGTAATTTAAATATTGGAACTATGAAGAAAGCACCTAGTATTGATTTGGACGATCCTGAATTAAAGGTATATTTCAACAAATTAGTTGGAATATTTGCAACACTAATTTTAATCGTAAAAAGTAATTTCGAATTGTGTAGACGTTAATAATTTTATTTTTTTATTTTCAGAGTCAAGCAATGAGAATAGTGAGAACCGTTGGTCAAGCTTTCGAAGTTTGTCACAAAATGGCAATAACAGCGCCGGAAAATGAAAACGATTATGACGAGCAAGACACTTGTACTCAAGATGATGGATTAAGCGACTTAACGGCTGATAAACCAAAAAGAGGTGAGTAACAAACCTATGCGAAGTTAGCCTTCAATTTATCTAACCCCCAATTAGGTTACGATTTTATGTAATTTTCATCTATTCGATTTTTTCTCGATACTTGTACATCTAAGAGCAAAAGTGCAAAAGAGCAACATTGTTAAGAATAAAGTTAGCTACAACTTTTACAGTAAAACCGTTTTTCTAAAATGCGCCGAATCCCGTACATCACCAACACCAGTATACAGGTGTCCCGTTAAGCGTACGGAGCGGCTGTATCTCTAGAACGGCAAAGCCTAGAGGTTTGGGAAAAAAAATCCTTATAAGTAAAGTGACTAAGAGAAATAGCTGGAAATTATTTTAAAGTTCGTAATTCGACCGCTAGGGGGCGTAACTGCCATTGAGAAACATAAAGTTGCCGCTATCTCAGAAACTTAGACGATGAGCTATAACTTTGACAACATCATTTAATAGCTTGGATAATACCGCATCGCTTTTGTTTTGCGATATTTCTCATATCTGTCATAATAAGGGAGGGGGAGGCCAATGCGTTTTCATATGTTTACATTTTAATATCTCCTAGACCATTCAACCGATTTGAATGTTTTCGGTGTTGTTTGAAAGAGCATTTTATGCTCTTTTTAAAGATATTTTCAGTAAGACCGTCTGCTTTAAAACAAATGAGCTAGAGGACGTTATCTGCAGCGATTACATATTTTTGTGATTTTTGAAGAAAAGTTAAATGGAACGATACTATTTACTTCACAGACCCTTAGTCACCTTAAAATTTGCTAAATTTTAGTGAAAACCGCATCTCGATATCGCCACCCGTTCTCGAGTTATAGAAGAAAATGTTAAAAACTCGAGTGCCATCAATCGGATCCAGTTACCTCATCGAGAAAAACAAATCACATAACCATGGTAACTGTAAACATGTCATTTACTAACGCAGAAGCGTATGATAGAGCGTATGATGATTTATTTTCAATGTTTCGAATACGATGCAACTGCATGGCAAAAATGTGCAATGCAATTACGACAAAGAAAGACATTTTTCTCTAGAAGTGTTTTTAAGATTGACTTAGCGATTACGGAAAACTGGCAACGTGTAGCCCATTCAGACATCTCTATGAATTCGTAAATCATATTGGTGCGCAATGTGATCCCACATAATCTGGGAACTCCGAAAACAATTGTCCACAAGAGTTCTCAAGAGAATAATATCTCCACCACGTTGTTTTACATCAGGCCTTAACAGATACCGATTATGATAACAGACTGAACTATTACCATTGACTTTTAAATATGATTTGGGCAAATCCAAACCTTTTATCACAAATGCTATGGATGCATGAAGCATCTGTCCACAAGCTGATGTAAACTTGCATAATATGCATTCTTGGTTCGAGCAAAACCCACATTGCTTTCACCCCTTTATCTATTGGGTAGACTAAACGACCTGACTTTTCAAGAAAAACCAATAACCAGGGAAAATATGACAAAACACTAAATACCAGTAGAAACGTGTCCAGGGCCGAGACTTAAGCAGCGCTTTTTTTTCGTCGAAACTAGATTAAATAAATGCATCGAGGTTTATGGAAGGCATTTCGCACATTAGTGAGTTATTTTTGCCAAAAATTTAAGTTATTCTAAGTGTTTTGGTTTATTTTGTTTTATTATCATTGTTGATGTTTCATTGATCCGTTGGCTTTTCAACACGCCTCAAAAGTAGTTTTGAAGCAGTTCTAAGCTTGGATAAAGTGTGAAGGAAGGTTCTAGATAATAAAATTTTTGTTCTCTCTTATTTGTTTCCTAAGGTAACTTGATCCGATTAAGATATACGAATTTTTAACATTTTCTTTTATAATTCGAGAATGGATGGAGATATCGAGATGCGGTTTTCACTAATATTTAGCAAATTTTATGGTGATTAACGGTCTGTGAAGTAAATAGTACCGTTCCATTTAACTTTTTTTCAAAAATCACAAAAATATGTAACCGCTGCAGATAACGCCCTCTAGCTTATTTGTTTTAAACCAAGCGGTCTTACTGAAAATATCTTTTAAAAGAGCATGAAATGCTCTTTCAAACAAGACCAAAAATATTCAAATCGGTTGAATGGTCCAGGAGATATTAAAATGTAAACATTTGAAAACGCATTGGCCTCCCCCTCCCTTATTATGACAGATATGAAAAATATTGCAAAACAAAAGCGATGCGGTATTATCCAAGCTATTAAATGATGTTGTCAAAGTTATAGCTCATCGTCTAAGTTTCTGAGATAGCGGGAACTTTATGTTTCTCAATGGCAGTTACGCCCCCTAGCGGTCGAATTACGAACTTTAAAATAATTTCCAGCTATTTCTCTTGGTCACTTTGCTTATAAGGATTTTTTTCCCAAACCTCTAGGCCTTACCGTTCTAGAGATACAGCCGCTCCGTACGCTTAACGGGACACCCTGTATAAAACTATATACAATATCATCTAATTTTCTTTTAAAATTTTTCTCGATATTTAGAGTGAGCAAATGTGAAAGAGGGCAACATTGTTACAAATAAAATTTGCTTCAACTTTTATACTAAAACTTTTTGCTAAAACATTCCAAATCCTGGGTAGATTAACTAATTAGACTAACTTAATTAATTTTTGGGTATTTTGTGATTTTGATAGACGAAATTATGGCGAATCGAATGACGTATAGATCTTGATAATCGAGTAGATCATTTTTGCGTTATTTTTTTAATGTTTTTATGTGTGATTTCGAATTTGGCATTTCCACTTTCTACGTTTATTGGCCATCGATTAAGTTTTTGAATGAATTGATGTTGTTCATCGAAATCGGTTGTCGGATTATCTTGGGGCAAACTTGAGATAGGTGAGTAACAAGATATCGATTAAAACATTTCAAAATGTTTATTTTCTCTTTTGTGCCCAAATATCAACGCTCCTAATTTTATGATAACATAAATATACACACAAGTAAAAGTAGTTTAGAATAGATTCATACCGCGAAGAATAATAAATTACCGCTGAAATAATAGACTATAAAACGGTGATTTAAAATATGCGGAAAACGTGTATTTGAGAATTATCGAATGTTTATTAATTTAAGAATTTCTCTTTCTGGACTAACATTTCTAGACGTGAAAATAATTCAAACCGAATGTTAATAATCCTTTGTATTTAGAATCTTTTTTTTTAATTTTCCGATTTTGGATTCCGATCTTTACGGTCTCGTTAAATGGCAAGTGTTTCTCCGTCTGAGCACAATTTCTACGACGCCGTCACGAAGTAGCTGTAAAACGCGAGGAAAATAAACGAATTCCGACTTTTTAACGACCAATCAAAGAACGAATTGATCGGCAGTGATTTTGGAATGATTAATGGTTTATTTCGATTCTGGAACAAAAAATTTAACAGTAACTTGAAACCGACAAAACATATTTATCTTAAAACTGGATAAAAACGATTCTGTGAATCGATACGTATAAGTAGGAAACAGGAACATCGTGGGGGGTTGATTATTTGTTCGAGTGAATGTCGGCCAAAAGGAAATTGCTCGAAATAAAACACAAAAGCGTTGTAAAGGAAGTTTGTGGTGAAATCTAGCATCTTTTCAAGGATAATTATCAAACAAACCTTTTCATAATGAAGATTTAAAGATAATATTGTTATTAAGTGTTAGCTTTCGACTCTGGCATCTTTAGTTTTTTTTTGTCTTCAGGATCCGGATCCCCTGAAAGATATTGCACACTCGGCATGTTGCAACCGGTTCTTAAAACGTACCATTGACGTCAAAGCGGCGTCGGTGCGTGGCCCAGAATAACAGCCTTTCAGTAGTTTGTGGCAAAAGGGAACGGGAACCATCAGCAAAGTTCGATGACATCGGCAGATGTGAACTTACTTTCAATTTGTCAAAATGTTTGTGTGGTTTCTATTCAATCTAAAAGAATCATAAAAGATTCTAAAGAATAGAAATGTAATAAAAATTTCTATAGGTACATAAAGAAAAGATTTGTTATGGTTGCTGTCATTCTTTTATTTATGTATCAATTCGAATGAATTATTTTTGCTCTACAATTGAATATTTAAAATTGAATTTATGGAGATTAATTGGTTGATCAAATTTCTCGATATAATTGATGTGATCTCCCGCCATTTACCGTGTGATTGATTTCCAGAGAGGATTACTGGCATTGAAGTGTAAAATTATAGTAGATTAATGAACATCCGGTGTGTTCATGGAATTATTAATGTTTTTAATCTACTGAATTTATTTTATTTTGTCCTCACATTTATTTCTATTGTTTAATAAAAATCTTTCAATATTATTACATAATTTTCATAAATATTTAAGTAAAAAGTTATCTATGTTTGAAGATGGATATCTAAAGAACCATTCGATGTAGAAAATTGCGGATAACTTTTTTAGAATCTTTCAATATTTTTACAGAATAATCGTAAATTTGAACATTTTCGGTGTTACAGTTTACGAGAAATCTACCGAGAAATCCGTCGAAGAATCCGTCAAAATAATATCATTTTCATACAAAAATTTCTTTGAGTTTGAAGCTCTATACAGGGTGATTCATTAGCTCTATGACAAACTTTGGCAGATGAAAGGTGATGCGATTCTAAAGCCGTGTGTCCACTAGCAAGTCACTTGCGGAAGAACTTCTGCAAGTATTTGCTGAAGTGTTTCCACTCAAACCGAAACTTACGGAAGTCTGCTTCCAGAAGTAGTTTGTATAAGTTATCACGACGAACTTGCTGCAAGAAATTGCAGACGTGTTTCCACACAATGTGAGTACAGCTTGCAGTAGTTTGCTTTTTTTACGAATGACAGTATAAAAATGTCTTGTGGCAAAATAAGATTGGCAGCTGCCATCGCAGCATATTTAATTAAAAAGAAACAAATTAAAAAAAAAAAAAAAAGAAGTGTTTGGGTGAGAAATTGGGTGCTGC